CAATGGTCATAAGTCACTTGTTCAGTGCCATTTTAACTTCAAATTGTAAATTTACTTAATTCAGTGTTTTCATTTGCGAAAAATAATGTGGTTTTTTTAAAAAATGAGATCTCTTACAAAATGCCGTATATCCTAGCTTTGGCTCAAGGTGAGGTTCCTGATTCCCTTCCTCAATTTTACAACCTCCTTTCAAATTGGACTGAAAAATCTTGGTTGCCTGAAGATCATTCACTGAGCTTCACGAAATCAAGAAGTGATTTAAATCTGGGTCTCCATGAGCCTAGTGCAACATTTTTTAACCACGACTTTTCATAACCTTTACACAAAACCTTCCATCTGTACTTCACTTTTATGGACTTCCTAAACTCATCGACAGTGATGGCTTTCTAATGTATTTCTTCTAATTGGGTCCAAAAGATAAGGACACATTTGCTCATAGATGGCCTTCATAAAGTGTCTTCTGGAACAATGGAGCTGAACTATAAAAAAATGTTCACTCCATAATCAATAGGCGATAGTAGCTTCAATTCGTAAGAATCTTTGCACACGGGGAGGGACCTGGAGGTGTGGGGGGAAGAGAGGAGACCTGAGGTTGTGTGTTGAATGATTGTTATCAGTCAAACAACAAAAGTAAAGATATTTTGCCTCTGCTATGTTCCCATCCCATATTCACAATCCAATGTGGTCATTTTCAAAAGTGACCCTGTATAAAATTGGTCCGTATTATTAAAGAGGTGGTATGTTTATTATCTTATGGTTAGCCAAGATGGACAATAAAGCCATTTTGGTTGGTGACCATGGAATTATTCCTTAACGAAACATCTTTCCAAGCTGCCTCAATCAACTATAGTTTGGGGACTTCAGATGTACTGGACTAGAATTCCCATAATTCTGAGCACTTTTCATCCTTTGGAGTAATTGGGTTAGGCAGATATTTCAACGTTTCATATATATCTGATGCTGCTTTGGTAGCTGCTGGGATTCTGAATTAGGTTTGAAATGACTTGTGTTGTCAAGTTACGGTCAAATTGCCCTGAATCAAATTGTACTGAATTTGTAAAGAAGCTTGAGGGAATTATTTCCTTGGGAGAAATAATATAAAAATATCTCAAATAACAATCCTCTTGAGTATTGAGAGTGATACAGCAGGTTGGGTATGGTCTGATAGAATTGCACCACTTTGCTAGGCTCCAAATAGCATATTTAGCATCTTGTTGGATTTGGAAAAATAATATGCAGTTCTGATGATCACCTGGGTTTGATTTCTGCCCAGAATGTTGACCTTCTGACATATCAGGGTTGGGCTCCAATGAGTGGAAGAATGAAGGCATTTTCTTCATCAAATCTTTGGAAATGAATTTGCCCCACTCCCACAGGCTGCAGGTATATGAGAAACTAGTATTATAATAGGAAGGGATGAAGATGATCCATGGACGTCTATGAAGATTCTCAGTCATCCAGGTCACAGTTGTCCTAAAGGTGCTTTTTTTCAAGAGGCACCTGGACTTTCTGGTTTTTCTTTGAGGATGTTTCACCTCTCATCCAAGAAGCTTCTTCAGCTCTGACTGGATGGTGGGGAATGGAAGGATTTATACTCCTTGCAGACAGCTGGTCATTTGCATCCTTTCAAGGGGGTTGAAGAGGCCATTTATGTCAAAATTGAACAATCCTCTCTCAACCGAGGGGGAGGGATGCAACAAACATCTATCTCCAATCTACAACACAGTCCTTTCAACAGTTCCAAGAAGGGTCCACACCCATTTGCACCACTCAGGTGACCCTGAGGACAGAGATAAGCCTCCAGGTGGCCCTAACGACCCCCTAAAAGGATGCAAATGTCCAGCTGTCTGCAAGGAGTATAAATCCTTCCATTCCCCACCATCCAGTCAGAGCTGAAGAAGCTTCTTGGATGAGAAGTGAAACGTCCTCAAAGAAAAAACCAGAAAGTCCAGTTGCCTCTTGAAAAAAAGCACCTTTGGGACATGGTTCATGGACAGCCATGCAGCCCTGGCATTAGAAATCGCCTGTCCCTTGAAGTCTTAGAAGCATGGCTGATCCCCAAGACGACTCCCATTTTCTACGGTAATAGAAGACCATTTTTTCTTGAAACAAAATCTTCCAGGACAGCCACTGGGCTCACCGAGACTCTGTAAGTTGAGTGTTGAGGCTAAAAATGCAGCGAATCCCTTACTAAGGGTGATGTGTCGAGGAGAGCTCTCTGGAAGTAAAACATGACTCAACAAATGTGGCAGATACCCACCACCAGCTGAGCTGAAAGCTGCTCTGATTTTGAACCAAGCGTGATAGAAACTTGTGCTAAGATGTTTTCTGTTTCTTGCTCACCCTTTTCTTTGCAGCGGATGTGATTCGATGTCTAAACAGTGCCCTCCAAGTGGGATGTGGGGCTTTTGCCTGTCTGGAAAACTCTACGTGTGACACAGGTGGCATGTATGACATCTGCAAATCTTTCCTCTACAGCGCTGCTAAATTTGACACTCAGGTACGGTACAGATTTGAATAATATCCTTTTTATGTGGAGCAGGCTTTCTGATAGACCAGGAAGGAGCTCTGGCTCGTGAATATATGAAATTCAATGGCATATAAAATAGGGCACCTCTTTTTGTATGCAAAAGACCTTAAATTTCATCCCTAGCATCTCCTCTCGGGACTGAGAAAGATTTAGATGTGAAAAAAAAAAAAAAAAACCTGAGGAACAGTAGCAAAATCCTACACAGTGGATATGTAGTCCTCGACTTAGAATCCCAATCAGAACCAGAATATCCGTTGCTAAGTGAAATGGTTGCCAAGTGGACCACATCCAATTTTGCAATCTTATTTTTTTTTTGCTGTGCTTGCTAAATAAATCACCGTGGTTAAGTGACACTTTTGGTTGTTGAGTGAATCCATTTTTCCTCATTGATTTTGCTTGTCAGGTGCTGGCCAGGAAGGTCGCAAAGGGTCATAATCACATGACCCTGGGATGCTCCAACCCTAGTAAATGCATGGATTTTGAGCATGTGACCTTCTGTCACAGTCATAAGTGCAACAACTGTTTACTAGTCCCATTTTTTCATCACTGTCATAATTTTGGTCATTAAACAAAAGGTTGTAAGTTGAAGACTACCTTTAAAGATTTTGAGTTTGGTTGCATGGGTAGACAACTATGACTGTAGCCATTTGCTATATCTAGAATTCAAATGTTGGGAATCCACATGATATGGTTAACATAGAGGTAACTGGTAACTGTGATTCTTATATTTAAGTCTACGGTCTTGATTGCATTTTACATTTTTTTAAAAAAAAGGATTTGATTGAGCGATAAGCTAATAATAGCACTTGTAACCTTATCTTTCTTTTGCATATGAAGGAAGTGAGGTGAGAAAGAATCAACAGCATAATCAATAAAACTGTTGATCATTATATAAGAGAACAGGAATCCTGCAGCATTCATTTTCAAAGCAATAATCCATAGGAAAGTTTAGTCCTGTCTATAAATTTTTGTGTGAACCACAAAAATTTATAGACACTGGATTCAGCCGGTTCAGGCAAACCGGTAGTTAAATTGCTGACTGGCCCCACCCCTTCCTGCCCCACCCCTTCCAAGAGTGCCCACACGCCCCATTTTGGTTCTCAGGTAAGTGCAGGGAGGCCTCCTAGGCCCAAAATGGGGCATGGGGGCTGCCCCCCGCAGCCTGCTTTCACTTCCAGGAGGCTTCAGGGAGGCCTACTAGGCCCAAAAGGGCCTCCCCCATGGCTCGTTTTTGCTCCCATGGGGGTGCAGGAGGCCAAGTGCTGCCTGTCACACTCCTGGCCACACCCACCAAGCCACGTCCACAGAACCGGTAGTAAAAAAAAATGAGTCCCACCACTGGAACCAGCATTCCTTCAGTTATGGAGACCAGCTGCACTAGAACTTTGCTTTTTTTCGAGGCCCTATTTCAGATCATCTCATCATGAGCCAGGTCCATTGATGGGCTGTGAACCCATCAGATGGTTGGGAGAAGAAACCTTTGTTGGGTTCCTTCTCCCATGGATCTTACTGCACCAGTTCATTGAGGTTGGGATGGTTCATTTAATGGGTCGGAATCAGTGGTGGGTTTCAAAATTTTTTACTACTGATTCTGCGGGCGTGGCTTGGTGGGCATGGTGTGGCTTGGTGGGCGTGGCTTGGTGGGTGTGGCAGGGGAAGGATACTGTAAAATCTCCATTCCCTCTCCAATCCAGGGGAAGGTAACTGCAAAATCCTCATTTCCTCCCGATCAGCTGGGACTTGGGAGGCAGAGAATAGATGGGGGTGGGGCCAGTCAGAATTTTTACTATCGGTTCTCCGAACTACTCAAAATTTCCGCTACCGGTTCTCCAGAATTGGTCAGAACCTGCTGAAACCCACCTCTGGTCTGAATTATAAAACCTGTAGCTTTATAAACAGGTATTATTATCAGTAGGTGGAAACCTCTGGGCAACCATGGGGGAAGAATCTGTCAAGCTGAATAGGGTCAAACTCAGTTGGTACTTTATGGGGCACTACAAAAACTATAGACTCAAGTGAGGTTTGTTGGTTTTTTTTAAATCCCACCATCTTAGAAGAAGACAATGCCATTTTTACATGACTACCATGAAAATGACCTAGATGCGCTCCTAAAATCACCAGTGCGATTTGGACTTTTGTGCGTGAGCTCCTTAGGTTGGGTGTCACAGCTAGCCAACTCGATGCTTTCAAAGGCTGCTATCAGATGGTCAAAAGGTAGAAGTGGTTGTAATAAAATTGTACAATACCTGCTAAAACCCACAGCGCATTGAGCTTTCAGTCTGTCATTTCAAGCAGGATTTTTTTTCTTTCAATGCAAACTTAATTAGATAAAATACATTTGACTGATGAAGATCATGAGTGAGAACGTCTGCTCCATTATCCGTTTTACCCCAGCTTCTCAAGTATTTAGAAGGCCCTTTTCAGTTCAATCTAAAGTGGTATTCGAGCAGCCCCGATTTTCTAATTATCTTTATTCACAGGAGAGAGGGGAAGGAGTAGAGAGAGAGGAAGGGAAAGGATGAGGAGAGGAGAAAGAAGAAAGGGAAAAGGAGAGGAAGAAAAGGGAGGGGAAAGATGAGCAGAGGAGAAGGTTAGAAGGAGGGAAGAAGAGAGGAGTGGGGGAAGAGAAAGGGAAGTAGGAAAGAGAAGGAGAGGAAGAACGAAGGAAGTAGGAGGAGAAAGAGGACGGAAGAGGAGGGGAGGAGAAGAAGAAAGGTTGGAGTAAAAGTAAAGGGCAAAAGAGCAGTCTCAAAAAAGTAAAAATGAAAAATGAAAGTTAAAAGAAAAGATGAATGAAAAATGATGGAAATGACTGTACATGTAAATGTGTTATGAGAAATAAAAATAAATAACTTTTTTTTAAAAAAAGGACTTAGAAGGCAAGGGCTGGGCAGCACAAGCAAACAGGACAGCCAACGACTTAAAACCCAGCCATCAACACACACCCCAATCAGCATCTAAAAAGCCATATACAACAGGCAACAGATTAATACCATCAGAACAGCACGCGCTCTGATAGAGAGAGGTTTCTTGAAGATGGGCTCCAGTCCAAATGCTTGTAAGATAAAACCTCTAGTCCCAGTGACTGACCTAGATTGGATCCTGCATTATCCTTTTTTTTTTTTTTTTTTTTGCTACCCGTGTTTCCCCGAAAATAAGACTGGGTCTTATTTTCTTTTGGGGCCCAAAATAAGCATTAGGGCTTATTTTCAGGGGATGTCTTTTTTTTCCCCATCTATGGGAGTCCCACTTCTGCTTGCTTGTGGCAAGGCAGGAGGAGGCTGCGTGGTGTGCCAGTGTCACTGCCATGAGGCAAGGGGAATGTAGCTCCAGCAGGACTCTGCGTGGCCGCTGGACCAATTCTGCTTGCTCACAGCCACAATGGAGCAGGAGGCCAAGCGAAGTGTGGGTGCCATGGCCCTGAGGTGAGGTGAGGAGGTGGAGCTGCCCCACACACCCCGCACCATTTTTCCTCAGGGCACCCACAGCCAGGCCATCCATGCCCTGACACCTGTCTCGCCTCAGAGCTGAGGAGCAAGCAGAAAAAGTGGGCTGGCAGCCACATTTATTTATTTATTTATTTATTTTATTTTAGTTGTATACCGCCCTTCTCCAACAGGACGGCGGTGAACAGCCATGGTAAAACATAACATATAAAATTTAAAAGCAGTTTAAAAGACATTAAATAATTTTGGCCATCAATTTAAAACAACCCAGTTAAAACCAATTACAAATTAAAACCGAAAGGATGGGATCAAGCCAGCCCGGCTAGATGAAATAGATGTGTTTTCAGGGCCCGACGAAAAGTCCGGAGGTCTGGTATTGTGCGTATCTCTGGGGGTAGGTCGTTCCAGAGGGCAGGTGCCCCCACAGAGAAGGCTCTTCCCCCTGGGGGTCGCCAGCCAACATTGTCTGGCCGACGGCACCCTAAGGAGGCCCTCTCTGTGCGAGCGAACTGGCCGGTGGGAGGCTATTGGCGGCAGAAGGCGGTCTCGTAAATACCCCGGCCCTAAGCCATGGAGCGCTTTAAAGGTGGTCACTAACACCTTGAAGCGTGCCCGGAAGACCACAGGAAGCCAGTGCAGCTCGCGCAGGAGAGGTGTCACATGGGAGCGCCCCGTCGCTCCCATTAATCCTTCATGGGCTCCTGCTGCATATCGCTGCTGTTGATGCCACCGCAAGGCAGGTGTCGGGGAATGGATGGCCTGGCTGCGGGGGCCCTGAGGGCAAGCTGGTGTGGAGTGCATAGGGATGCTCCATCACCATCCTGCTTTGCCTCATGAGCAACCAGATGGAATGGTTGCTGGCCAGCTGCTCAGGCTCTTAAGTATGGCTTATTTGGGGGGGGGGCTTATATTAGAAGCACACATAAAAACATGCTAGGGCTTATTTTTGGGATAGCTCTTATTTTCAGAGAAACGGTATGAAATAGCTTTGCCCTACTTCATTTTTTACATGCTAGAAGTAATATTAAATTGCAGAAGCATGCATGATTTTCCAAGATCCATGCGCTTCCAGATCTTATTGCTTAATTTTTTTTTTACCTACAACTTTTTTTAAAAGTCTAAAATTTCTGAGAGCTGAGTGAATTTGTCCAGAATCACAAAAATCTAATAGTTATAGCTATTTTCAATCCATATCATGGTCTTGCCACTGAAATTAAAAAAAAAAAGTGTTCAAAATATCATTAGCAAGCACAGGTGAACTTTGGTATGGATGCAATGGCAGTATTGCAGGAAGACACAATCTTTTTCAGACCGAAGGAGCACCTAAACTCCACAAAGTAGCTGAGTTTAGACAACATTTATACATATTGGCAAAAAAAAAAAGCAAGAATATATTCAAAGATTCTTTTCAAAGATATCATTGGAGGCCTCAGAATGATCATCACCGATAACATTTTTGAAAAGGTTCGAAGGAGTAACACTTTGGTTAAAGGAGCGTAAATATACTCTTAGTGAAAATTAGGG